CTCACCTGATTTCCGAGCTAATCGCTAGCCCGATGATCACATGCCCGCACATTTTTTTCGCCATCACTTTGTCAGTAGTGGATTTCCCTCCAATTGGCATCAGCACGTCCTTCAAATGCCCTTCCTCCCTCGACTGGCGGAACAAGAAAAAAAATTTTGTGACCACGCTTTTACTTTTACTTTCGCGCTAGCCGTTGACAAGGTTGCGAGCAAATCTCACGCCTTGCTGGGATGCCAGTCTTTCTACGGAAAGCCCACACAAGAAAGGGTTTGGGTCAGTCAGAGATGACTGTAGTCTCCTTCCTACGCACTTCTCCTAAGCGCTTTCTGAAAAGCGTTATGTGTTGGCGACGGAGGGTGTCTGTTTCCGGTTTCCTCTTTGTTCTCCTTGATTTGAACCTCGCCTTGTCGGCTGATCGAGGGAAAGGAGTCTACCTGCGTCTCATTTGCTGTTTGGGATGCCAGCCTTTCCTTTGGAAAGCCCAACTCAAGAAGGCTATGAGAGCCGCAGCCTCATCTATGCATTTCCCCTAAGCGCTTTCTGAAAAGCGTTATGTGTTGGCGACGGGGGATGTTCGATCAGTTAGAACCCACGGGCGTGAAAGTAGCAGAGGAGCTTTCTCGCTCAAATGGTTCGACAGATGGCGAATTAGTTTTTACTTGTATTGGCGATTCTGACTTGTATCCTTCCTGTGCAAATCTATAGGAATTTTCTTTTTTTTTTTCTAAGCTCTTTGCTTTCTACTTCTAGGCCAGGTCACACTATGCGATGGTATGAAAGGTGATATCCTGCTCTTCATCGACCAGGAGTTCTGCAATCAATGCATCCGGCACAAGATCTCACATAGCTACTTGCTGGATTGGCCCAGTCGACATGAGCTGTTCGTTCCTAGCTGGTGAGAAAAAACGTCTTTACCGGCTAGAATACGCTTCATACTTATTTCCCATCAGCCTAATTGTCTCTTTCGCCCCCTCCCCTAGTTGATCTCGAATGTATGACTTCCCAATTGTATATGCTAGTTATACTTCGAAAAGTTAACCGGATATTCAAATTCAGAAATCATCAGCCGTATTGTCGATTCCTGCAAGCTCCTGGCAGACGCGTTGCCTTAGGTTCAAGACGTAGGTATACGGACAATAACGCGTATATCATCTGAAGAGTCACATGGTGTCCGGTAAGGAGTGATAATCAATTACCGTAAGAGTGGACAGGTTTGTGGTCGTCATCATTAGATAATAGGTTTACGTGGTTAGACTTTAGTGGGTAATTAGTTTGTGTCTTGTTTCCTATTTTTTTTTAGCCTTTCATTAACTTGGTTACCATCATCCCGATTACTTGGGGCAACGATGATATCGCGTACTTTGTTGGGTTCCAAGTGGTATGTGTATTTCTGAACAACGCGTTATATGTTAGTCTACAGACTGTGTAGTAGTAGCATTTCTACGGAAACTATTACTGTGATATCTTATTGCGAGAAAGATGGAGTACTTATATGAACATGAAGTCATTCTGTAGATAATCGTGCATTCTTCCGACGAAAATTTCGGATATTTGTGTCGTACAAGAATAATTTCTATTTACGGTAACGATGCGACCACTACCTTAATAAAATCCGCTCACATGATAATAATAGTAACACTAATACAAATTTATTCAATGGCATAAAAGCTTTAATACAAAGAGTTTTTTTTTCGAGGCCAGTCAGCGCCTTGCGTTTTATTTTGATGTTTTATTTTTGAATTGCTTATTATAAACATAACATTTGAAGAACCACTCGTTGAACTTCAAAGATTATTTCAAACACATAAAACACATCTTGAACGTCTTTATTGTTCTTTACGGCAGTATAACAATCATACATATTGTGTGACAATCGAGAGACAACGTGCTATCAAACAAAGAATGTAGGTATTCGGATTAGTCGTACGACAAAATACAAGTGGCTCTCGATATAAGAAAGTGATCGGGATCCAACAAATTCCTTTCTTATATCGAAAATCTCTTATAACGAGAGTCATTTGTTATGAGATTTTAAATCGAGTCCAGCAAAAATACTTTCTTATATCGAAATTTTCTTATATCGAAGGGTTCTTATATCGAGAGCCACTTGTACTACAGTCAGAGAGATTTCCGGATTTGTCCATGCATATCATTCTTTTTATAGTAGCAAAAAAATTTTTAGAAATTTCTAGATTTATTACAGAACATTCGAGAAAAAAAATCTGAAAGCATAATAATGCTTCAACTATTGTTCTTTATTAGTATTAATAATGCTTTCGGATAACATATTTCTAACATCCTGAAGAACGCTCATTAAATCATCGCGGGATTTACTTGATAAATCTCGAAAACGGGATCGTTCTAAATCACCTAAAAGGGGTATCAAAGAGTTAATAATGGATAAAAGTTGTGATTTTGTTAACGAACTTTCAGCTTTTTGATCATCTGCGAGACAAACGCCCCTTTACTTGAGAAACTAAGCAAACTAAACTGTTTAATATATTAAAATTAAATATAAAATAAAATAAAAATTATGTCAAATAAAAGTAATAATAATAATCGATATAATTACGATTATATTAAATGCAGTGGGTGTTCTAAACCAGGCGAGCCAAGATGAGGAGAAAATGGAGCCGTTCTTACTTACAAGGGTCGGAATGGCGCCTCGCGAGTAAAAGACTGAGTAGCAATTCGGAGCCCTGGCCCCGTCGGGAATATTTAACTGTCAATCGTTCACCCCTTTTTCAAGGCTTACCAGAGCGAGATTACGCCCGAGAACAAAAATTATCTTACTCAAAATTCCTTCACGAACGATTGCCCAAATTATTATCTTTTTATCCTCTTCTTTATCTTCATCATCATCACTACTTGGAAATAACTGGGCAGGGATATAAACGGGGTCCGTGTTGTTAATACTGATCCGTTAGTTGAAAGATTAAATCGAAAAATGTTATAAGAGTGCTTTGGTTAATTTTGCCAGTATGGGGACAAGGTTGAGATAGAGGAAAGAACCATCCTTTTGTTTCTTATGAAGCTACCAGGAAGTCCTTATCTACGATGTCATGTCGTCTTCCAAAATGGTCCTCATGCCCATGAGAGCAAATCATGATGCAGCACCCGTTGCGTAACTAATTACAAGATTTTCCAATGAACGATCCAGTATTAATCGCGTTTGTGCCAAGTAATGTAACACCAGAGCCAAAATATCGTCGTGACTTGATACAAGACAGCGTCCCACACGGCACTTAGCCATAGCATTTGACTTAATATTAAGCTAACCCCCTTATATGACGACGTATTTGACGTTTTGCCGTTGTGGCGTAATCAATCATGCGTCACCAAACACAGCCTTCATGCATAAATGTACAGTATCTTTTTGCCACTCGACGTAATAAGCTTGGCACTATGTCATCAACACAGCCACATCTACAATAAATTTACTGCCCTTTCTCACGCTTAGTTGTACGCGAACGTTATATCGTTACAGCATAGTTATCAAAAGAATTTCGTTGTGATATTCTTCCGGGGCCTCTAAACTAGAACATTTGTAATTTATTCGCACGAGCCATCATTGACTTCTCTAAATTGTCAATAATCTGCTCTAAATGACGTCCGTTTTTAAAAAAATCCAACAGGACATCGATGCCAAAATCCATAAGACCAAAGAATTTCTCTCTCATGAGAAAGAATGGCACAATCTTTCCGGCTCTGTACATCTAACTACCGAAAAAATCTTCCATCCGCGTACAGTCGACGACTGTAAGCGCGTTGTTCGCAAGGCAGCCAAACATTCCAAACATATCCGTGTCGCTGCATCCGGTCATGCATTCTCTTCCCTCTGCAGTACTAAAGATTATCTCATCATCACTAACAACTTGACCAAAATCACCATCTCCGCACATGAGAAACATGGTTACGTTGTCATCGCTGAGGCAGGAGCAAAGTTGGCGAACATTGAAAAGGCACTGAGTGAACATAATCCGCCACTGATGCTGAAAACTGGAGGCCTGTTTAAAGAACAAACGATTGGTGGGGCTGTTAGTGTTGGCGCGACAGGAATGCAAGTAGGGAATGCAAGTATTTCGGATGAAGTGGTAGCATTGAAGGTGGTTGCAGCGGATGAACAGGTAATTGAACTCACCGAAGAGAAAGATCCATTGGAGATGAATGCGGCTAGGTTGAGTTTAGGTAAGTCTTGAGCAAACGGTAGATTTTATGTAGAGGAATAATGTGTAGGAACTTGTCTAATCTATTACCCTTATTTACATGCATCTCACAAAAAAGGCTTGTTCGGCATAATCCATACCGTGACACTTCGCACGCGTCCGCTTCAGCGGGCCCTTTTAATAGACTCTGTCCTTCCTCTTTCTACCACACTGACTGAGGCCAATATCTCTTCGCTTCTTTCCCATAAAGAAGCCTTGGAACTTGTCTACTTTCCATTTAATTCTTCGACCTTTACTGTTGCTGACGACGTTATCTGGGTTCGATCATTGGTAAAAACAGATGAAAATCCTTCCAATGAGAAGGCGGAAGATACATTGTGGGGAAACTACAACGTGAAGTTCAATGAACCGTTATTTAAGTATATTGTTAACAATCCAAGCGCGACACCGCATTTAGTGAATTTGTTATTTAAAGCGGGAGTTAAAGAAAAGAAAATCGTGGTGTCTGGAGGAGAAGCGTACTCTTTGAACGGGGCAATAGATAAAGTGCAATATGTTGGTGTGGAGTTTGTGATAAAGCTTAGAAATGGGTACAAGCCTGTGGTTGATGCCTTAAATGAAGTCGTCAGTAAGGTAATGTCAACATGGTAGAAGTTATGAGACGCATGATGAGAGCGCCATATAGCTGAGAGATGCATTTAGCAGTGTCCGTTCTTTATACTAAATTTTCTACTTCACTCGCTACTTTCTAGATCTACGAACGTGCTCAAAAGGATGAATTTCCCATCAATTTGCCAATTAAGATTCGTTTCGTCAAAGCATCCCAGGCATTACTGTCACCATTATATGATAGTAACTCTTCAACTGTGTTTGCTATAATTGAGCTCATGTCTATTAGGGATACTAAAGGATATCAAGACTTTGTTGATTCTATCAGCCAGACTTGGGCTAAGAAATATGAAACTCGGTAAGTAAAGTCAGCTTTGTGAACTAGGATCTATTGAAGTTCAGTGGCACATGCTATATTATTCTGACAAGTGTTTCTGTAATCAGCACTCTTCCTTAACACTAATCGTTTCTTTTTTTCTCCCTATTAGTACCACTTGGTCGTCCTATTGGGAAAGAATTCCAGAGGTTTTCCCTCAGACGCGTACCAGTCTTGATGATAGACGTAATCAGTTCAATAAGATTAGAACAAAGTATGATCCGAATGGAATGTTCTTTGATAATGAGAGTTTGAAGAGAGTATTACTCGGTGCTGGTGACGATGCTGACCTTGATAAGTGATGGGAGATTGGGTATAAAAACTGGTAATCATTGGGATAATATACGAACAAATTATTAAATATTAAATTATTAAAATTAACTGTATTTTAAATATTTAAGCTCCAGGCAGCCAACATGAAAAAAGTTTACATATTCAATAGCTTAAAGTTTATTTGGCCCCTTTTCACAGAAACTGCTTCAATACATTTCCACTCCATCATATTGCTGCGCTCAGAAATATTATTTGTCATACGTTTGTAACATAATAAGGTCTAACTATTAGATGGCCAATTGTAAAACTCACTGATTAGGAATTATACACTTTAGGCGGTTTGATTAATAATTGCACTGATTGTCGTCTGTGTACTAGAACTCGTCGTAAGCAAGCTGCAGTCGCAACGTCGTTACTTATATTCGATGCAGTTTATGCACGGTGGCGTAGAGCCTATATTCCATCGCGATTACTACTTAGGACAGCATGATATATAAAGGCATGAAGTTTGTGTCGTGCCAACTATCACGGGAGAGCGATTGATAATCGGCACTTGGAATTTTCGAACGGAGCGTGGCTTCTTTCGCTATGTCGATGAGCGACACTAATCCTAAATAATACTGTGGGATTAATTTGATAGTCTATCGAATTGGGGTACAATGGAATTTCTCTAAATCAAATGCGTTCCAATAACAATCAGAGTAATCAGAGTAAAAGAGCTACTCATTTAATAAGATAATAAAGGAATCACATATTATAAGCACTTGCGAACACACTGAAACTAGCTGACTCTTTTATATCTTTCGAGCTACTAATTGATCTTAAACTACTGTCGCATTGCGATGTGCATTCTCTTCGTATCACCGCAGAAATCTAGGAGGAATACATCGGGTTGTGGTTTGATACGAACTCTGATGATTGTGAGAGTACAATGATAGGCATTGTCCTTAGACCTTCTGCCATGATGTCGCCACTACACCTTTAGCGTTCAATCGTAGGTGTAAACAAATAAAGAACGCAAACCTCCATGATGTCGCCGCAAATGTTGGTCGCGGCATCCTTTAAAAGTTTTGGTCGAGTGATCAAATAATTCCTCGCCATCCCAATGGATAATATGGTGCAATATTCGTGTGAGTGGTATTAATCGGCCTTTGATTTGGAGGTGAATGAAAAGGTGCTGCTGAATAAGGGAGAGCCACCCCCAAAAACTCAATCTGAGGGTAATTTGTTTGGATAAGATTGATCTTATTTAGAGCATTGGAACGATCTGAGTTACAATTAAAAAACCACCTGCAAGGTTCAAATAATTTGATAAGTAACACTCATATATTGTTTCCAACAAAACTTGATAGAATTACCTCTTCTTTGTAGGATTGTTGGCCTTTGAAACCATCCACTATACACACTGTGTTAATACTTGCCCAGAAAGTTGACTAGTTCGATATGGATTCATTCCTTGTCTCCACCGTCAAGCTGATACGAAAATCGGTGAGAATAATACAAGCTTGTGAGCCAGAATAAAACTTACTCTGATAAATAGGTCATCTCCAATTATTTCGGCATATATTTGGTGTGTATTGATCGACATTCTTTCATTCGTTCATTCCCATCGAAAAAGATAAATCCATTTCCACTCGGCCGCCACTCGTTTATCCCGTCTCTTCCCGCCACCTATTCCGCTCGCACCATTTTCCTCTTCTCCCTGATAACTTCTTGATCAAGGCTTTTTTGCACTGTTATGCTTCCCTTTCCTTTATTCTTAAAAGTACTTCACGAATTTTGTATGTTTGCCTAGACTGCGTTATTACTGGAAACGACCAAAACAAAGCGAAAATAATTACCTGCTTGGACGAGTTAAAAGATTGACTTGAGTTGCAAACAGGAAGAAAATACTAAGGATTTATCAGCACCCACCCAATAAATGTTTTTACTACGCGCTCAGTGATTAGATACTGATGTGATATATACATGCAAGATGCGCCATAATAGTCGTCATACCTGCAAATTGCTAGCAAAATCTCGCGGACTTAAAAATGGTTTCACGCGTCCATATATTTTTCGTTTTAGCTACGGACTAATAAATCCATTAATTTACAGGAACAGGTTGGGTAATAGGACAATTTGCCTAATCCAATAAGATTACATCGAAAAAATTTATACAATTGCTCTACTTTCATCACCACATGCCTCGCCCAAGTGATCGGAATTCTTCATGCGTAACAATTATACTTCGTGTCTAGATGGGTATATTCAATTCAGCCTGCCTTTTTTTTTTCAATAGTTTGCTTTAATACGATATTTTCCAGCATGCCTAACACACATACCATATACAGAAGCAGTTGGTGTACCACAATCTCCACAAGGAACGCGTGATCGCCTTTTCCAATAAAGAGCACAACCTTTTTACAATGTAAATAGTGGACAGCATACTAATCATGGTAATAAAGTTTTTTTGTCAATCAATAAAAATATCTTAATCAAGATTGCGAATTATCCTGCAAAGCAGGGCACTCCGTGCTGAGGAGATGAATCCCTATGGGGACTAGTAGAATCAAATCATTAAAGTCTTCATAATATACGATGGATAGCGGCAGAATTTACGGATACTGATAGCGATGGCTGTATGTACCGTATATTGCATGTTGCCGGTGATATAAAATATCCAGCGTCAAGCCATTTTAGCAGACGATCCTCCTCCAAGAATGGAAGAATATATGGCTAACAGGCGTCCCAATTTATACATATGTGCGCGAATAGTCTGATCGGCCTGCGACATGATTGATAAGACAGTAGTGGCACAGGTCAAAGTATCGACTTTCAACAATGATAACTGCCAGGTTTCGACTTAATAATGATGTAGAAATGCCCGCCTTTGGTTGTAAGTACTTTGGTTGTTCATCCAAATATGTATTTGTACTCAAAACTATATGTTTAACTTATTGTAGTGGGCACCTATCGTATCAAAAAACCCGAAATAGTCGATTCCGTAGTCCGACAAGCAGTCAAATGTGGCTATCGACTGATTGACTCGGCCGCTGTTTACAAAAATGAAGAAGCCGTAGGGAAGACGATAAGAAGCATAATTGAGGACACATCATCTGGACTCAAGCGGGAAGATTTCTTCATTACAAGTAAACTTGGTGGGTTTTTACGGTTGATGGATAGTATGCAGGTAATTAAGTTTAGATGACGATGTTGATTATCTTACTGTTCTACAGCCCCAAGAGATCACGGATTTGAGGCCGCTTATAATGGTGATAATGCATATCATATGTTATCATTATATCTATAGAAAACTGATTAGTCATACAAATTCACACGACTAATAATCATCGATTCCCGTGTTAGCTTGTCTCACTTCGTTAGAAAAACTGGATTTGGGTTATCTCGATCTCTTTCTTATCCACTGGCCAGGGTCAGTCGAGTTTCACACGATCTCTATGTTCTGGCTCGTTCTCAAAACACCAATCGCTTGTAAGAATTTACTAGTGAAACCTAATCGCAAAATCCCTTAAATTGCCGTACAAGCCCGTGACCAGAACGGGTCAGAACATACGTAATTCTTTAATGATTCTTTAATAATTGAAACCATTTATGCGTCTTTTCAATTTTCCAATAGGAGTCAAAAGCTTACGCAAGATGACCCTCGGAATGCAGTAAACAGACGGCAGAGTTACAAAGCATTGGAAAAGCTTTACACAGAAGGCAAAGTCAGAGCAATAGGGATAAGCAATTACACTCTTGCTCATCTCGAAGATCTTTTAACTTATTCCTCCATCACACCACAAGTGCATCAATTCGAGGTCCATCCTCTGTTGTATCAGACGGAATTGATTGACTTTTGCAAACGGCACAACATTCTAGTTCAAGCCTATTCTAGTCTTGGAGAAGGCAAGCTCGTAGATGGAAGCTATAATATTGAGGGAGTAAAAACCATGGCCCAGAGGCATGGAGTGAGTGAAGCCCAGGTGTACCTGCGTTGGGGATATCAGCATGGATTTGGTGTTATACCAAAGAGTACCAACCCTCAGAGGATACAGACAAACAGTGGGATATTTCATTTTGAGTTGGATGATGAGGTGAGCAATGTTGATGTAAATTCCACATTTGAGATTTTCTTTTTTTACATTAACTGTTGATATTTTTTTTTAATGCTAATCAGGAAATGGCATATTTGAATAGTCAAACCGAAAGAAAAAGATTCTGTTGGAACCCAAGCTATATTGTATGAATGTCATGGTCATGTGACAAAATACGGTGTTACCAGATAAATGTGATCAACCTTTTTCAGTATAACGACTTTTTTAATCCTCACAGACAATGTTTAAAGCATCATCTAAACGTATTGCTTTAACAATACAGAGACTTCCGCCACTTACGCAGAGTGCGATAAACAATAAAACTTTATGCAATTTCAAGCTATCCACACCAAAAAGGGAGTTTTGGCTTCCACTTGTTAACAAAACTATTCCCACACACGTTCAGAAATCATCCTTTTCTGTCAAACGTTCGACATATCACTCACGCACACCACTTTCAACTAATCACTCTTTCCCAATTGGTCGTCTAAATCAAACGTATACCAGTTTGATCATAGATGCGTCAAGAGAGACACGTAGGATATTAAAATATTTTGGCATCGGGCTAGTTACAATCGGTTTGCTAACTTTGATAACATGGAGAGGCATACACTTATACATTGAACACTTCTATCACCCTACACCTTCGACTCTACCCAGATTAGCCAGGGATTGTCTCAGAGGAGCTTATGTCCGCGAGGAACTCTATCCTGATTCTCATTTGGCTGAACAGTACCTCCAACATGCTTTAAGAATAGCCATTCAAGAACAGCAACTTCCACCTGATCATCCAATTGTCCTAGACATAATATTACGTATGGCCAATAATTCTGCAATGATTGAAAATTACCATGATGCACTCACCAGATACGAATCCGTTTGGCAAATTCTAGTTGATTCTGGGACAGAGGAGAACATGGATAAAGCCATCGAGGTTTCAAAGAAGATTTCGTGGGTGTATATGAATATGCAAGATTATAAAAAAGCTGAAAAATATCTTAGATGGGCCATTGGGATTATGAGCCAAAAGGGCGATGGTGGTAATAGTGGCACAAATGCTGGAAGCGCTGCTCTGGCAGTAGTGAATACGAACTTTATTGAACACATCCTATTATTAGCAGGCATCTATGCACAGCAAAAGCTTTATAACAAGGCGCTTGCTTTATATGTTGGCATTCTGAAACAACTGAAAGAATCGAACTCAACTGATCAATCATTCATCTGCTATGAAGCAATAATAAGAGGACATATAGGTGAAATTCTCTACGGTCAGAACAAATTGGAAGATGCCATGGGTTGGTTGCAACAAGGTCTTTTACTAACCAAACAAGGATCGGGAATGCGTGCTTGTGACGAATGTGCTGGAGTTATTTTCAATAACCTTGGAATGATACACGAATTAAAGGGGCAGATGGAAGATGCTAGAAAGTTTTATCAAAATGCTGTGGGATATGCCGAGAAAGCGGGAGATATTCGAGGTATTAACGAGTTTCAGAAAAGGCTGGATAACATTAACCATCACAAAAGTTAGGGTAAAAACGAACGATTACGTGATACAATGTTACCGGAACTATGGACCCGTCATTGTTTGATTTAGGGTTCTGGACTCTAACTCGTAGTGATGGACGACAAGTATAGCAGCTTGTTTTTCCACAAAATATTGAGAATCCGAGAACAATTTGACTAATAAAAAAAGCGATTCCAATGCATTCTGTGATAGTATGGGAGGAAAATTCTTTTTGTCCGAGCCCAACAGGTTTCATGACACTGTCATGTAAAACATTCCGTGTAACGTTATTCTGTCAATGCACCAAATGACTACAAATGGGGTCACACGCGGAAGGAAAGTGTAAAAAGGGTAGAGAAGAATATGTACATAAAGTTGGCGTTGTTCTCTTTGAACATTCCAAACTCGTAATAACTTTCATATCAAGCACATACTCGAGACATCGTATTTGTAGTTGTATGTATTTTCGCTCGTGTTTTATCACCATAAATTTCTCATGTACCAATTGCCTTTTGGAATTAATTTGTTATGAGAACATGCGACATCCAGTAACCACTCCAACTGCAATTTACAATCACATCAGCTAACCAAAGAGTAGCACAGTTTATAATTCTTCAAGTATATAAATTTGATAAGTCGTTCATGCTATTGTGCGCCCACTCGTACATATTGCGGTTATTGTTCAACTACCTCCTTTAAGGGGGGTGGGGTTCTAATAATCCATATTCATATATTCTCCGAAATTTGCTTGGTATACACAACAAACGCTAACTACCGTCGTCACTATCTCACAGTCGTTCGCCTCACCTCCATCGTTATTCAATATTCCCCCCCCGCGTTCACATTACGCTTACTTGGAACTCGGCGACTGTTACTACTATAATATATATATGACACAGGAGTCCACTGCAGACAAGGCAACCACTTCAACACACAAAGTAAGTGGTTCCCTCAAACTCAAAGAAACAGCCGATCGGTAAGTTGGTTGTGCGTTGTGGTATTAGAATCAATACAAAAGGAACATGTAACGATAACTTTGTTAACGAAACTTTACAACTCTTAACTTTATACAACTTCACATAGTGTTAGGAGAATGTTAGGCAAAGAGGTAAGTGACTTGCCTATGGTATTATAAGCCAAATGCTTGTTACATATAGCTTATTAAGTTATTTTGCACCTACTTGACATACAGGTTAAAGATACTGCTCATAAAGAACTAGTGGCCATAAAATCACTTGAGGACATTCCAAAAATTATAACTATTGAAGCAGAAACCGCAATATTACATGCTCTCAGAGGAGCAAACTTGCGCAAAAACCAACAATACGAAGAAGCACTTATAGAACTAAACAAAGCATTATCAATAGAGAATGGCTTCGTTATCGCAAGGCAAATACGTGGCGAAGTATTCCGTAAATTAGGCAGATATCGAGATTCACTAAAAGACTTTACTAGAGTGCTCGCAGAATGGCCAGACAATGTTGCAGCCAGAGCATATAGAGGAGAGGTAAACAGAATGCTCGGAAAAGACAATGAAGCCTTATCCGATCTCGACAGAGTTATTGCTGTCGAACCAGATAATGCATTCTCACTACGAGGAAGGGGAGAAGTATATCGAATGATGAATAGATATGACGAGGCCTTGACTGATCTCAACCGAGCGTTAGAATTAGAACCTAATAATGCATTCGCATTACGAGGTAGAGGCACTGTATACCAGAAACTAGCCAAATACGATAAAGCCGTTGCTGATCTCGATAAATCGCTTGAATTGGAACCAGAGAGCACATTTGCACTTCGTCGTCGTGGAGAAGTAAAGCTCAAACTAAAACTATACGAAGAAGCACTGAAAGATTTAAACAAGTCGTTAGAATTAAGGCCAGATAGTACGAGTGCATTAGAAACACGCAGTGAAGTCTATCGTAAACTAGGTAGATTTGATGAAGCATTAACTGATCTCAACGAGATACTCAAGCGCAATCCATCACACGTATCGGCTCTTAAAGATCGAAGTCACATATATATTGAGCAAGAGAAATATTCCGATGCGTTAACAGATTTGAATGCCATACTACGCATCAAGCCAGAAGACCCATATACACTCCGTGATCGAGGATTACTCAAGCGTAAACTAGGATATGCTGATGATGCAGTAGTAGATCTTGACAAGTCACTTGCACAACGACCTAATTCGGCTACGGCATTAGAGAATCGAGGAATGGCGCATTTCACCCTCGGACGTCTTCAAAACTCGTTAAAAGATCTCACAACAGCACTAGAGATTCGTTCGAATAGTTTGGAAGCTTTACAAGCACGTGCGACAGTTAATTATGTTCTTGGTAATTATAATGCGAGTCTAATCGACCTGGAGCGTGTACTTAGCCGTCGTAATCCACCCGCACCGTTTCGTAAGATTCGTATCAAAATCTTGTTCAAGCTGCATCGATACGATGAGGCGCTTAACGATCTCGAAAAGTTGTTCCATCCCGACCTGCAGGATCCCGAGGCGTATTATCTTCGTGCGTATATGTGCTTCTTGGTTCGTAGATTTTCAGAGGCGTTGAGCGATTTGAACAAGGCGCTCGCTTTCGACTGCGAAAACGTGGAGGCGTTAGAGTTGAGAGCAAAGACCTATCTGATGTTGTATCGGACTACGGATGCGTTTGCTGATTTTGAGACGGTCTCTATATTGGACCCTACTCATGTGTTTAGGCTTTGTAGTGTGGAGACTATTAATAGTGTTATTAAGGAGTTTTGTGCAAAGAGCGATTGTGAATATATGTATTAAGAGATGTAATGGAACGTCTATTTTAGAAGCCTTGACGACTGCAATGTCCTGGATAGGAGCAATGGCATTACGAAAAGCAATAGCAAATGGAATACGTATCGAATAGTTAATATTGAAGGATTACTAATGTTGAGTATGTGGTGGATATTTTGGCCGGATTCAGACAAACTAATTTAGTCTGGGGGTGAGACTTTTGGATATCAAATTCTCTCTTTTTCTTTGATTCGAATAGAAACTGTAAATTCCTAATTCACATTATTCTTGGCAGTCATTGAGTTGTATATAAGAGTGATGCTGCCACAATAAAGATGCACTAAAAAACATAATAATAGATACGCCTATACATATATGTATTAGTATTAGATTGACGATCGTCTTGTGGGTTTTAATATCGGGACAAAATTCGAGAGGCCTAGTGATGTAATCACTGGACCTAGTACACTTCTAATTAAAATAGCATTCTAAACAAACATCTACTTTACATATTCCTAATTTCCGCCTTCTTTCCGCCTTCCGCCTTCCACGGGATGACCAAGACACGACATTTTTTTGATTACTTCCATCTCCAAGTTGAGAGGCGAAACAATAGTCAATGTCAAGCGGTCAAGCACCTCTAGACTACTATTAACCCTCCTGAAACCTTTTTGGATGTAACAATCTGATATCGAACTATCTTCCTTCAAATGTTCAGACAGTTCAGGAAAATTCCTTAAAATCCTATACCCCGAGAATGCATACGGAGTAGCTAATCGGATAGCAGACTCGATGCCAGGAGCGATAGCAAAATCTTCAAAAGATTTCGATACAAATGTCATGGAGACTCTTGAATATAGTTGGAATTGTGCTTCGCGAAGTACTTTCTTCACCATGTCTATAAAATTATCTAATAACTGTGCGGCGTATTCTTCAGTCACTGTGATCAATGGTGCCTCGATGACGGATGGTTTAGGTATTTGGAAGTAATCGAGCTCACCCTCAAGTTGCATACGAGACACCGAGTTACAGTGCATACTCTGACTGCAATCATCATAGTATGGGACTGTACCTTTGCGATAGTATTCCATGATGTAATAGAAGGCACGACCATCCCTATCGAAGAAGTATTCATTGCCATTGCTGGGATGTAACATGTCTTTGTTCCGTTCCTGAAACATTGTTCCAAGGTGCGTATCTGGGTATTGTGTTAGCGTTGAACGATAGGTTTCATACTTTAGGTGAACGGGATATGGTAATTGGGGTGTTTTCGAGCGACATTCAATGAATGTCAATTTGATTGATAATTATATAATTACAAGTCATGTTATCGTCCAACTGTTTGATATTGTAAATCAGTGACAAGTGTGAGGACGACATATAACTAGGTATTCTCACAAACCTTCATTCCACCGACGTTTAGGACTATTCTTTCGTCAGTCATAGAAATATAAATAATATGTTAAATAGATTAAATATAAATAAATTATATATACTTGTATTAAGAAAAAAGACAGGTATGGATGAGAAAACTAACAGTTCGATTTATTATGAACGCCACAATAAAATTCAGGGGCTCTGAACGCCACACCACAGATTTGTCTTACAAAATTTAACAAAGACAATTGGTAATAGTGTTTGCCTAGTAACGATACCTTACATAAATATTTCGCTTACTTCATTGATAACTGATTTTTGACAAAGATTTTAGCACCAACATGAGTGGATTTCTAACAGGTTTTGACTGGCTTGGCCCTGTCACGTGTCACACTGTACCAATAAATATGTGTGTAAGTTCACTATTTGTGAAGCAAATATTAATTCTATAAAACAATATACAAAAGCGCGAAAAATTTATTGTGATTGCAAACCAATTTATAAAAGGGCTTACGTAGTCCTAAAGCAAGCAACATAGAGTTGGCCATGAGTAAATACTAGAGTCGGCAACTAAACTCCTACGTAATTTAAAGTTTAACCTTATTGATGGTCATGGCAAAGGCGTTTAAATACAAAGGCAAAATTCGAGGAAAGGCACGTGATCCAAAAAAATCTTCTACGTTGCAATGTATGCAATAGCGTCGTGCAAATATGCAATGTGCAGAAATCCTATATATATAGATAATAAAATAATAGCCATGCGACCATTATTATTATGCATATTCTCATCGTGTATAAGTTGAACAACCAAAGTCATGTGAATACACTTACAACAATGGAATAGTAACGAATTATTATATTTATTGATTATTCGGATCAAAATGGTGGAATTTGGCGTAAATTAATTTCATAGACGTTAAAAATGTTATATATCTTTGTCTCAATCAAGCTTTCCGCGTTGATTAACATTTTTTGAAATACTGTATGTAATATAGATATAAAAATGCAACTGAAATTTACAGTCAATAAATTTTACATGGCATTGAAGCTCATTGATCGTATTTATGAAATAGACATAAATTTCTTATATCTTGATTGTGAAGTTATAGTACAATGCGTTATGAAAACAATACGATTATGCAGATCATATGAGAAATTATTGATGATTTAAAACATTTCACTGCCACGAAATGAATAAATCTATGGTCACTTTTCATAAGTACGATCAATGGTTTAAGGAAAAACGAACTTTGAAAAAGATCGAATTTTGTAGATTGTAATAGTAAATTTTGCAGATCACCTTAAGTAGAAATTAGTTAAGAAAAGAACCGCTATCTGGAGAAAGGAAATTTCAAACTCTTAATAATCTGCAATGCTACATTTGATGATCATGTACAAATGCGAACAACAATAACCAGCGTTGTGTCTGTAGGCATTATCATTTTAGGATTAGTGACACCGAGAGTAAGAAAGGAGTTTGGTAAATGGAGACCTTAAATTGTTATGGTATTATTTCTACGTTGAAGAATGAGTCATCCATAGGCTCGTAATAGATCAATTACAACTTGATTCTCCGGGCGGCTAATGTATTGAGTCATGCTCACAGCATGCGTTCCTATTAATTGATACGATTGGAATGTTGTTATATTATGAATAAGATAGTTTCTGTATTACTATCACTACTTTAGTCTATGATAAAGTATAGTTCTCTAGAGTTTACTTAGGGATTTTGTACTAACCTACATATAGTATATCTCTGACAGCATAATATTGAAGATTTGTAGAAATAATATGACAGTATGCAGCAGCTGCAGTAAACCTTTTATTGCTGACGCGTAAAACACGGCAGTTTTGAGAATTAATCTGTCATTGTTACGGCGTTAATTGCACAAGCGCTTTTCGATTTTTGGAAAAAGTATACCTATTACCATTACTATGCTTAATGTTAATAACCAATCAAAAATTCTTAGTGTCAGCATTTAGCAAATGACTCGATTTAAAGATTTACAAATTTAACTTTTATTTTTCTAACTCGATCGAAACTGACTACTGGATGGCAATATTACATTGAAAAGATTTTAAACCACATGATTGTAATAAAGAACTAGTTGCCTTCTCTTTACAACAAACATGTTCCTCCATACAAAGAAGTGACCCTGATACAGTGTGTTTTTGAGCAGAATTAAGGTAAGTTCGTATTTAGAACGCGTTCAAGGCGTATTACACTGTACTTTGCTACAGAGTATTTAATATATTGCACGATTGTATATCGATCATAACAAATATTGTGCATTAAGATTATCGGTATAAAAAACTTGTTGCATTATTATCCATGTATAAGCGTTGCAGGTCGTTAGACAAATCATCATGGTAATTACAGATATTCTTGTCCTAAATAGCCCAAGTCAAGATACTTTTCGTTTCAGTGTATGTGATTATTTATTATAAATAAACTCGACAGTTTTCAGACGTGCTGAATAATTAAACGGAATTCAATTAGTAGACGCAAACACATCTATCGTTTGATTTTGTTAATTAGTATACTATTCTTGTCGAAATGTTTTCTTTACATGCGCTAACCAACTCGTAAATATTCCTTATGTCTCCCTCATCAACGTCCGCAATATCAGCCATCAAATATGCAATTTCACCATGCGAATCAGAATATTGCTTTTCCACATTATGGGCAGCAAGGATTTCGTTGATTTCCTAACGTGAGAAAAATATTAGAGTTAAAGCAGCAGTTCTAATAGGATAAACACATGCATTGGCAGGAAATGACAATCCATTAAACTGAATAATTCTATAATTTACCTTAAGTACACCAGGAACATTGTGATGAACAAACAATAACCGAGCAATTTTCTGTGTCGCCTCGATAGCACGGAGATCAACTTCTGGTAAGTTCACTGCACCAACAGACGTGCCATAGTTTATATATCGAACAACTGCATTGCCTACTTCTATGCCAATCATTTTCTGCGCTTCTTCAGTTGATCCACCTAAAAAGAAGATATGTCAGATAAGAACTGTTAATATTAAGCATAAGAGACTGTATTATAGCCAAATTGTCGCAACTTCATACAAACCAATATGCGGAGTCATCAAAACATTCTCGCATTCGCGTAATTCGTCAACCCAATCCCCCAGATCACTAGTAAAAGTCTCCCCATTTTTTGCCGGCTCCTTCGGATACACATCCAAAGCTGCTCCTGCCAACTGTCCTCGTTTCAGCGCTCTAACCAGTGCTGGTATTTGCACAACGCTTCCTCGAGATGCGTTAATAAAATAACTCCCTTTCTTCATACACTCAAACTCCTTATCACCCATCATGGTTTTTGTTTCTGGTGTTTCGGGAACATGGATGGTGATAAAGTCGGCTGAAGCGAGTAGTTCGTGAAGGGAGTCTACTTGTCGGGCTGTACCAAGGGGCATAAGTGAAAGTATGTCGTGGAAACAAACTTTCATTCCCATTGCTTCGGCTAGAACAGATAGCTGACTTCCGATGTGGCCATAGCCGACAATACCTTTACGAAAGGAGTAAAGGGGGAGGCGTGAGTCTATTGATTTTCCAGAAAGATTTGTATAACCAGATTTGCTACTAACCTAGAGTCTTGCCTCTAATCTCGCGGCAATTACTAGACACCTTGTTCCAAATTCCTTTATGCATTTCCATGTTTCTGTCACCCAACTTCCTGCTTAGTATCACAATCTCCGCAATGATCAACTCTGCCACGCTCCTACTATTGCTGAATGGCGAATTGAAGACGACAATCCCGCGACTTGCTGCTGTCTCGAGATCCACCTGGTTGGTTCCTATACAGAAGCATCCGATCGCAAGAAGTTTTCTGGCTTCGGAGAGAACACGCGATGTTAGTTTGGTTTTCGAACGGATTCCTATGGCTTGGACATCTCTGATCTTTTCAATCAAGACTGATTCGGGAAGAGCTTCTTTGTAATGTTCGACCTAGAAGAATCGTTAGATTGTTGAAAGATCAGGGTCAGATTGATGTAGCGAGCATTAGTACGTGTCGCGATATCTAACATGTGCATACATTTATGCCTTGGTATATTATTCTCGTTTCCTAGTTAAGTAGCGCTTGACAAGCCAATATAATAATTTTTTCTAACCGTTCTCTCGTACCTGATAGCCTTGCTTAGTGAGAATGTCGACTGCACTCTGGTTAATATTTTCCAGTAACAGCACTTTTATCTCTCCTGCATTAAAAGGTTTAAGTGCTTTCAGCGAATACGACCCTCCGCGCGCTTCTGTCATTTTGATAAATGTATATTTCGTGGTCAAAGTTTTTTTTTTAACTTTTGTGTGAAGATCACCTAATTAGGGCGGGTTTATATTGATCAGAGATAATCTTATCAATAGATCACTGTATTTACATTCTGGGACATACCGGTGATTAAAAGAATTAGTAATATAAAACTCTCGTCTGACAAGTCGAAACTGTACCACTTTTCACTTTTCGATTTGGAAATGGCAATCAGAATCAATTCTATATAAGGAACTAATTCGGTCTAACCAAGTCCCATATGCTGAATATGTTGGATTAGTCATCAGATTAGCATAATGATGGAGAGCATGAGACTGCCATATGATTAAGCTCGTAGCCAAAATAATGCAGAAAATGACTTAAAGACTGTCACAAACTTTTTTAAACACCTTGATAAGACTGGCATTTCTAACGCTAATATGACCCGCATATGAGGAAAGTACGTTATCGATCTCTTAATAAAGAGTTTTTAACTGTATTAAGTAAGTCTAATATAGTCATGTGATAAAATTTATGAATGCTCTGGTCGGAAACATGTAAAAGTAAAAAAATATGATTTTCTGAGCTTAAAAGAAACTTTAGGGTTTCTTTTGATGTATATTTTTATCGTGGGCAAGAGATGTCTCTGCGTTTTTTTTCGCAAAGACGCTATTCCATGTGCAATCCATTCAACTGCTTCTGTCGTATTTGTTAATTTCTATTGACAACGGCCTTATCTATTGTTATGGTTGTCTACTCCTTCAACGATATTGAATTACGTTGATAGTCAAAAACGCGCTTATTTAATATGGTGTCGTGCCGTAAATATGTTATGCTGGCTTGAAAGGAAAAACCTTTACCTCAAGTCTATCGGAAAAAGCTTTCATTGTCCACAAGAGTAGTTAACTCTGGTTTTGAAAAATCTCACAAGTCCCAGTAACCTTTTGCAACCCTAAAGAATGCTTCTAAATTGGCAATGTAGCCATGAATGAAATTGAAAATTATAATTTAAGCTTACCACAATTTTCGTTAACACGCATTATTATTATTTGAGAATTAAAAGTTCTTGCAAACTTACATGGTAATCTTAATTCAATCAAGTTTGTCTGCTTCTCCATGAAGACCATCCAATTTAAGTTCTGAAGTTGTATTCCAAGTAATTTAAGTTCTTAAAGAAATAATGAAAGATTCCGGGTGCTCTGTTTATATTCCCATACACTTTTACAAACTTTTTTTTTCTTTTGCGATAAACGATTCGGAGCATTTGATTATTATGATCTGCAGACTGTTGTCCTGCGGTTCGGTTTTTAGTTTGTCTGTCCTTTATTAAGCACGGCTAATTGTAATATTTATAGTCGTAAGTAACAGCAATTCGGTTTTTAAAAGTATCACAGATCACTGTAATCATAATACGAAATAGACGCAACACTTGCCAAATTTGCATTTGTTATTTTTTATCCCGAGAACAAAATTTGCTCTCTTTCAACATTGAAGTCCATTCTAATTACACAGAATATAAATTGTATCGCGCGGTATTTGCTAAATAAAAAAACTATTATTTTCCCATAACCAATAAGGAAAAACAATCTAACCAGAAATGAATATATTAATATAGGCTATAACTCTAAATTTGAGGAATTTAAAATCCAAGTAGTAAATTTGTAACTTTGTATTTTCGGTTCAAAACGCGCTGAAATGCTTGTTTGATTGCCCATAATTGACAAGGTTTGCCTGCTCATTATTTACAAACCTCTTTATAGAAGCAATATGCTGTTTCCCGTCAATGTAGTTCCATACTACTTCGCCATCTGTCATAAACTAGAAATTATCAACGGATGCGAAAATCACGGTTTCAATTCCTATGTGGATCGCCTCTTGAGCTTTCAAGTCATCAGCGATATAAACAACCGGAATTTTCTTATATTTTTATAATAACTGCGTTTATATATAACCGTTGGGCCATGTTCATAATTGTTTATGTGAACATATTCAAATTTTGCGAATGCGAACAATTTGCAATTCCAGTTTCATCAGTTATTCCAGTATTTGATAATTCAATTTTTGTTGTAATGCTTTTGTGTCTAATGCTAATATATTTTTCTGTAATTACGTATTCAAATAATTCACGCAAAGCGCGTACTCTGCGCGTGTATCTTCTTCGTAATTTTAGACCGATTTTAAATTGGAAATTCATGTGTACTGAACGCTCTTTATGTTGTGTGAGCTGTAGTTTATGCTACAAAAATTCATCGCTTGCTGGAGATACAAATGTGATCTAATCACCTGAAATTGTCTAACTAAACATATTTCGTAGTGTTATGTTTGAGCGGTACCGCAGAAAATGTTGAATTATTTCTAATCAACTGGCAGAGGTTTCAAACGAGTCAAAAGTTGTATGGTCTCGTATACTTGGTGAAAACACCATTTCTATTTGACAAGATATATCAATATATTTATTTGTATTTTTTTTTATTATGAATAATATATCCGTTTTCCCGTTTTATGTTATGAAAGGGAACAGCGAAAATTTGAGAGATAGTATAATAATAAAAAAGATTCTTAATGTGAACGGGACAGCAATTTGCACGTTTTTTGACGGTTTAGTATGATAAAAAATTACATGAAAAAAATTTTTTGGAACAGCACTCCGCACTTTTTTAACGTTTTAGCCGGTATTGAACCGCTTTTCAGGACAAATAAATATTGCTGTCACAGTGGTACCACCGAAATTATATGTGGTATTCTAGAATGCACAGAATGCACGGCTACGCTGAAGTAAACTTGATTGAAGTTCCCAGTGAATTTGTTTGGGTTTCCGTTTATCCTCCCATTTTTTAGCCAGCAAATAGTCTGGTCGATTATTCCTAATATAAGAAGATTAAGTTAATGTCCCCACGTCCATCAAGTCAGCTCAGAGCCTTGAATGATAGAAACGCTTAGAGAGTTTCTTCGCCTCGATGGGACTGATGTAGGATTAGCTCGGAGGTAACATCAGAAAAGCTCGGAGGCCTACATTACCGCCGCAAAAGAATCTTGGAGACCCTTTAATTCGTCCTTCCTACACAATCAACAACATATTAACCTTACAGTGAGAAGATACGTCAAAACATTTCTATTCAGTCGGAGATGGGTGACGTTTATAGAACGTTTCTAATATGTTTGGTGATAAACGGTTTGTTTCATTTTAATACTTTCTTATTTATAGAAAGTTTGCAATAAAGTTAAGCTCTTTGTAAAAATTATTCTTGAGGAAGATAGGTGCATCAACTGGAAGAGACCCATACTGTCATCGCGTATAGTAGAAAGTTAAAAATACAATAATTATGATGAAGATTTCGAATTTGAAATTATCCAGTACTGTGTTATTACTCATTAAACTTAAAGATGTTTATGGGTATCAATCAAGTATAAAGCATTTGTCGAGGATGTGACGTGTTGACACGATTATTTTATTTCAAGTTTAATCACAAAGCAAAATAGATATGAATGATCCAATTCTGAATCAATCGACTCTTAAACTGATACTTTTTATTCAGAATCAAGTATTAAAGGCGATAGTACTAATTCTGATTTATCTCTTCCAATCTCTACCAATGCATCAAGTGAAAATAAGCAATATTAATATAATGCAATGCAATGTTGAATCCTAAGTTACGGCTACACCTATGGTTGAGAAATTACATTAAGCACAATGTTGAATTCAATTCTCCACTGACATCTTAGGTCGAGGTGCTCATTCCAATTCATTCTATAATAAACCAGACTGCTACCTCTATTCACATCCCACGGAAAATGGATAATATACGGGGCTCTAGGAGAATCGTCAAGTTGAGTTGCTGGTGTCGTAGTTATTCCCGGATTTTCGTTCTGAGGAAAAGGGTTAGTCGTGTGTGGGATAGCAATTCCGACATATTCAACATTGGTCGTGTATTCTCGAATAAAGCTAATTTTAGATAAAGCGTTGCGACGATCTGGATCACTGTTATAGAAAACCTAAGCGGATTCGAATTTGATAAGCAAACCTTTACTTTGTTTCTTTCAGAAAAAAATTAATATAATTACCTCTATCCATACGTTTGGTGGCGGGCACCTGTGTACAATGGGTCTTGAACTTTGTGCAAATGTTGGGGTCCGAAACCAAATGCCAACGTCAGGTCGAAAATTATTGCCTCCCATCACACATGTCACATCAATATTTACATCCCAACTTGAATTTTGCATCATAGCCGAATGTGCCAAATTGAAATGGATTTTAGACTTATGTATTCCATCGCACTATATGATATCAGTGAAAATTAATAAATATTAATAAACGATATACATATTGGGGTGTATAAGCTATGACAAAACTCACTTTGATAATTAAGTCTTTCCCAATTATCTCGGCGTCATATCTTTCGATTATCGCTTCACGGATATTGACATTATCCAGATTGTAGGTAGAAAGACTGATGTTGACAACATCTTCCTTTTGCTCTGGCGTCAATGCTTCCAGTGACATGTCAATATACGTAAAGATCTATTGTATTGTGGCCATTAGTCACGCTGATTATAAACACCACTCAATACATGTTAATAAACACTATTTAAATACCATATTAATTTGGGAGGCTTGTCTAGTCGCCTGAGACACCGTAGATGTTTCTAAACCTTCTAATTGATGAAAGATTGGAGAGTTATTGATTTGATTAATTTGATAGATTCAGGAAACAATCGATAGAGAGAAAAATAAAAATATACCCATATTTTTCTTATCACGGATTATTACGCAGTCTTTCTGGAAATTTCGAGAATGATATTACGTATACGGTCAATGTCTCTGAGTTTAAAAAAAAACTACGAGACTACGTGAGGAAAAAGTTCTTGCCGCATGCCTCTCGTTTTAGCCTATGACGACGTGATACTAACCAATAAAAGCTCTGATCATTAAACTAAACCGAATTTGGAAGTTCGTTTATTGACCATTGGCTCGTATTTCACGAGATTCTACATTGGCAGTCAAATATGGAAAAAATTTACATTGTATCCTGACCCTTTAACTAGCATACCTCCAATCATGGCAAAAGTCCACAGAGATTGTGCGCAAAAAAGATGAAACTAATTCGTATATTAGAAATGCGCCTCAAATTGCGATCAAAGAAATAACGTTTCAATAAATAATATTCATGTAGTTATTCTTCAAACGAGACTAAGTGGGGCCAACACTTAATATTACCCAGACACTTTGTACGTGACCCATCCAAGGCTCGGAAATTTACATATCGAATGCGCTCTTTTATCGATGACAAAGTAAACAAGAATGTCCATCGCTTTCGATTAACAGGAAGTCATAAAGCTGAAGACCCTTCGCGCATTGAGCGTATATGTTCAAATCATACCTGGAGAGAATCTCTAATCACTCTTATGGAGAAAGATTCTACAGTATGAACTTTGGCATATGAAGACAAAAAGCCGGAAATAGAAACTGTCTCACGTGAAGATCGTGACAAAAACGATAGAACATCAATTTCCTTTTCTGTGTTATCAAAATCCCAGTAACGGATTTTGTAGAAAAAAAGAAATGCGCAATGCCTATAATGGATTGGTTCAGGCTATGGATAAGTCGGAGACTCGAAGCTCTGCTTCTTCCTTGGATAACCTGCGTAATAAACATAGACTCGTAATTGAGAATGATCCACGAGAAAAAGCTTCTTGTGATTCGTTATTGCCAAAAGTTATTGCGTTGGAGGAGATTTTGCAAGGCATAGATTTTTTTTCAGGCGTTCACACATCTTCTACGTTATGTCGTAAAGACTTTGATGCTAACTTATCAAGTTTCTTACCAATTTATAAGAAAAATGAGCGTCGTTATTATGCAATATTTGGTAAGAAATGGAGACCGCATGCTAATTATAATATACAGAATTTCTGAAAAAACCACTGGAGGAATTTAAAGTGGGCGTTGTTGGAGAAAAATATTGCAAAAAATAATTTACAAATTTGCGACTTTAAAAATAGACAGGTGTCTTAGAAAAATTCTCCCCGATATTTGTTCAAACGGTAACAATACAGTTATGGGTACCTTGCAATCAGTCTCAGGTAAAAAGTATATATGTCGCGCAAATACGTGTACTACCATTGATAACGAGACACCCAAATGCTTAATCTCTTTATCTTCAGAATTTCTCATTAAGCATGAATCTGATATAAATACTCTTATCTTTCTTTTACAGCAAAAATTCCAAATGTCTCGAGAAAAGTTGGAACAATGGCGAGCCAAGATTGCCTTTGAATTTTGAGACAATACTAATTACTGGAAAAAAGAACGTGAGAGTATGAATGAGGCTAATTTCTTAAAATAAAAGCAAGATTATGAAGCCCGTCTTGGCGTTCCCACTACTCCATTATATGCAGACGGCAGATAGACAATACTTGAGAAGGCTTTCAATCGGGCTAAAAGGCTGTTGCTTGCTGTCCCAAAAAAATCTTTCGCACTAAGAATTTTTATATTTATCTTATTACGCCATCTCTATCAAATATTACCTATCCCCTTTTTATAGCATAACGATAAAACAGAAAACAGATATATTATTCACAATTGCAATAAGCTACGATGCAGACACGATTTTGTCATCGCATTTGCATCACCGTCAAGCAATAGATTTTTTTTCAAAGGAAAGTAAATGATAATGCAAACGTAATCTTATCGTCAGTTGAAGGCATGAGCTGTGGCTCACCAGCATAAAAAAGAAGCTCCGCTTCACGGAATCTAGTAAATAAAATTGAATGTATAAAATGACGACCTATGCAAAGATAATCTTGCCATCAAAAATATGAAGAACAAAATTTAGAAAGAGGCTATTTAGTAGCCATTTCTCCCGGAAAAACCGCTGATTTCTCGCACGGTGAATTCTATTATTTGAGATAAACCTTCCCCAAAAACAACTCCAATTTAATGTTTCCAGTAAAGAATTCCTGTTCCCCAAAATACAACTCGCAAAGCGAGGAGGCTTTGCCGGTTTTATTATTTTAATTAATTCGACTCGCGGAGCGAGAAGGCTACGCTTCTATAGTTTACGGAATGTTCGCTGGATAATCGTTGCTGCTCGAATTATTTCATACAAAGCTACTTTCCCTAGTTTAGAATTATAACCTAAATATTCATTCCGCGTTAGATTGTTTTTGATACGGAATATAAAATTTTCCCAACCGTCCTGATAAGAAATGTCAAATCCAGGTTTTAATAAATATTACGTATGTGTTTGGGTGGACGATACTTTGCGAATCGCAACAATCGTAACCTAAACCGTGATTCCGGTGTTTTCAAATCTTTGATATACTTTAATCCATATTCAGTTAATCTGCTTCGGGAGTATTTGTTTTTTGCCGTAATATCTGAACTGAATATCAATTGATTTTCCTGCATGTATAGGTTGTAATTGTTTGTTAATGTAATAGTAAGTGCTAAATGTTGATCTAGGAGTACCACAAAATGTCTCTGCATGAGCAACCCAAAAATGCCAGGATCATTATCATCCAGCTCCTTATGACCCATGATAAAACCCTTTCTCCAGCGTTTCAGCACTTGTTTGTGGTTTGTCACTTGAAGCAATCATACCTGTTTTAGTATTATAATACAGGAGGAAAGTGCAAGAAAGAAGTTAACATCAAATGAGATATCAAATGCTTTGCATGTCTGCTGCACTCCACTTGCACATGTGCATTGATTAAGCAACTGCTACTCTTTCTGAGCAGCACTATTGGTAAAATACATGCACAAAACATCCTTTTGTCTTTCATAGAGCAAGCTGCACAATTTCTGAGTACAAGTCCATAGCTACTCTTTGACCCAAATGTAGCAATACAATGCATTTCGAGTATTCTCTTGCTAATATGTCAGAATTGCTATGCCAACCCTTTCCCCAGAACCAAAATTCGGAATAACTACAACTCCACTTGAAGTTCCTCCTAAAGCCCTGTAAATTCAAGAATAGAATTCAAAGCAGGTTATTAACCATCTCCAAACTGCTTTCCCAGATTTCAAATTATTAAAGAATAGCAAGATTAGGAGGCCTTGTACTATTGAAACTAACAGGAGAAGACTTAATGGCTATTGGCATGAAATTTGGACCTGCAAAACTCATCGCTGAACATGTCAAGGAGTTAAACAGTATCTGCATATTATCAATTTTTCATGGAATGCGAATAGAGGTAATCAACAATTTAGTTGTGAGATATTGCTTAACGATGCGAACTGTGATTATTTACGGTTACGATCATATCGTCTCAATCACGAGGTGTCTTTCTCTGGTATTACAGCGTCTGCTGATTCTCGCATGAATATCATAGATTGCAGTTTACGGGTAAACACTGTATTACTTTCACGAGTAAACACATCGTATGACTTTCACGAATATGATTTTCACAAACGAACACATCGTATACGTATGACTTACAATTTATGAACAACACGTCATATAACTTTTATTATGCAAATAGAGATTTCTTAACACGCGATTTTTTTTATTCCTGGCGTCAAGTACTCGTATGACTTTCTTATGATCTATCAATTAGAACTTAAATCGATTCAATTTGATGTATCTCAAACGTGCAATACTTCTTTTTGTCTTATCATTCGCATCATACCATTTACTGGTGATTTTATTAAAAATTTAAACCACATTCACTGTAATAAAATTTTTACGCAATTAAAATAAACCTTTATAATATTAATATAACCAATTCCTACTTGTTTAATTCGGTGGGCGATCCTTGCAATTCATCAAGCACTTGGTACAAGGCAAATTCGTTAAGACAAGCCACGCTAAGCCGAAATCGAAGTTTTTCTGGTCCCCAAATTTTTATTATAGCGAAGCCAAAATTTATTAATAATTTACGTTAAAAAGGAAGCCGAAGATTTTTGACTGACCAACAATAATAAATTTATCTCGATATACCGAAGTCATTACGTAAATTTGTATTGATTTGTTCGTTTCTTGAATCCTGTAATTGAAACAACTCTTTTTTTGCAACGCCTATATACGTGTTGCTATCTTCTAATATCAAAATTTTCAGTTTTGTTTACCGATCATGCATATTTGCGCGTCAGGTTTGTATAATATTCTTTATGGAAAAGTCTTTTCGTTTAAACACGTATATATGAGAAGTGCTTGTTACAAGTGTCACTAATCCTTCAGAATGAACAATCATGGAGAAAGTTCAACGAATGGTTCTTCAAATGCTATGTCTATAATAAGCAATTCAAAAATAAACCACCAAAATAAAACGCAAGGCGCTGACTGGCCTCGAAAAAAAAACCTCTTTGTATTAAAGGGCAAGAGCATCTTAATCTTACGTTGGAAGCATTAGCAAACTTTTATACCGTTGAATTGTATATAAGTCGAAAATTTGTGTAAACATATAGATTCAATTTAGTGCGAAATTTAGTAAAACGAAAATTTTGATAAGCCGAATAAATTTTTTCTTTCCCGTCTTATCGAGTTTGCCTTGTATTAGTGTTATCATGTGAGCGTATTTTATTAAGGTAGTGGTCACATCGTTACCGTAAATAGAAATTATTCTTCGTCACAAAAATCGTCGGAATAATGCGCGCAGCTCCCCATAAACATTAAAAATAATTGTACAGCAAAAAACTTTTACTCACGCGTCCGTTGTAAATAAGCGCAATCTTTAGGTCCCTGTCAGCTACCTCTGTAAACAAGTTTCATATAGTATAAAACTAACATGGGTATCTTCAGCGCGCTTTTCTCTCTCTCTTCATCCAATACACAGATAGTCGAGAAAACCTTCAACCAAAAATGACCAGTCTAACATGCCTTCTTCATGGGGAACACCCTAACAAGACCTTTACTATCCGTCTTCAATCATATGAGGAACTTAGTGACCTCAAACTGGCTATAAAAAACCGAAAGGAACAGACCTTTATCAACACTGAAGATACAGAAATTGTAGTCTGGAGGGTTGAAATCTCCACTACCAATGAAGATGATGCAAAGTATAAACTGCTTGCCAGTCAGCAGGCTGACATCAACATCCAAGAACAACTCGGTGGAGAATTATTGAGTAAGGGGGGCACTCTCATTACGGCATACTGGCCTCAACCTCAGCGGGGAACGATCCATGTCCTTGTTGAACCACCACGTGGTAAGTAACATTACTAAATTCGAACATTCCAAATATATACCCAGGGAGGCAATCATTTCGTCGACAGTCATTTCACTGACAATCATTTCACCGACAAATCTTCACCAACATTATCTCGAAGTTATCCTTTTTTGGTAGTTAAAATGTACTGTCGGTGAAATGATTGTCGATGAAATAATACGGACCCATATACCCACACTACCATCAATGGCAATATACTTTCACATTGCTTTTCTATTGTGCTTTGTTCACTGTCACATCATTTATCATTTATCATTATTCTACCATTTCATCCATCATCCCTTTATATTATGACCATCAGCATATACTAATAAACAAAAGGCTGAGGAGGAATACGTTGTGATTGCACCTAGTAAGTTGGATTTGTTTTATTTTTATTTACAGTGAGAGGGTTTAATACTTTCTAGCCATAAGCGTTTTCTGATTAAATTTATTTTTTTGTAAATTCAGAGCGTCGCTTTGCTTCTGCTAACGAGGTTTATCCTGATTTTAATTTCTACGTTGAGCCTGAAGCTGAAGTCAAAAAAGTGGTAGAATTACTCCTCGAACGCAAATTCACCCTCTTGTTTGGCCATCGACAAAGTGGCAAGTCTACCACTTGTCATGCGATTCTACGATGGTTCTACACTCATTCGGAACAAATTAGAGAAGCTGGCTTTGATCCACAGGAATTAGAGATCTATTTTGTGACTTTCGATGCCAATATTCTTGTTGGTAGCAGACGTGACATGTTCTGGAAGAGCGTATGCGAGAAATTCAAGCTTGTAGGCAATGCCCGGTTTAACTTTGATAATAACCAGCAATCCTCGGGGAACACCTTTATGAGATTCTTTGCAAAAGACAACCCCCTCGCACAAAGCCAAGCTATTATCATCATCGATGAGGCTTCGCGTCTGACCAGCAATGATGACGAAGCCACTATGGCCATTATTACCGAATTCATCGACTCGCTGTGGACTCTCAAGGGTGATCGTGATAATTTTCGCCTCCATTCTCTTTTACTCTGTGGAACCGCAAGTATTAGGGACCTCCTGCTTGCTCGCCAACGACCTGGCTCTATGTCCTCAATTTCCCCATTTTCGGAAGAAGCAAGCTTGACGTCCAGTCGATTTACTGAAGCTGAAGTCCGCGCTCTTTTTACTCAGTTTGCTGACACTAATAATATGGCGTTCGATATAGTCAATATCGCGGCGGATATTTTTGATCTCACTCTTGGCCACAAAGGTCTCGTTGGCGCTTGCGGCGATTATATTCAAAATACATATGATCATAATAATACTCCCATTGTAACGCTCGATGATTGGAAAAGGCACACTCCTGTTAAACTGCTAAATCGCATACTGCAATTGTCAACGTATGAATCCATCGTGCGAAATCTTAACACTCTCACGCCCTCACGTCGACGTATACTTATCAAAGTGTTACGTTTTGGCACGTGTCAAATTGATCTCGTAAGTTAATTACCTCTTCATTAAGCCACCATGGTCTTCGATCATAAATATTTTTCCTTTTTTTTTTTAAAAAAAATAATAATAATAAGAACGACGACGATGCAAAATATCTTCTTGCTGAAGGAATGATTTTTGCGAAACGGGAATTAGATAATGGACGTTGGGAAACCGAAATTGGCGCACCTATCCTTCGTAGTTTAATAATTTCAACCATAATTCTGCCTGATCTATCCATACCTAATGACCTGCCAGATACAACAACGCTTGATCCTCGATGGTTCTTAGCACGTACTATTGAAGTATGTTTTTTTTTGTTTTGTTTTTTTTTTATGAATTTCTACTGGCAATGGAATAACATCCAGACATTTGGTTCCCTCAATGTTTATTTCTATACAGAATTTATGCGTTCGGAACCTCTACTCTGGACCGACCCTAAATGCAAATGCACAACCATCTGAGTATGCTTTTCAATCTGAGTTCTCTACCGTCTTCAAGAACATGCTTGGCCATGTATATCCAACGTTGCGATATAGAGTTTTGGTCGAAGCAAAGGAGCATATGGAAGGTGGCACCCGCCGTCAGCGTTTAGACCTCCTCATCCGTGATGGTGCTGTACTACCCGCATATGGCTTTGAGCTTGTCGTTTCAGCAAGTAAGAAAAATTTCAAAAACCACATCAAACGTTCCAAAAGCTACAAAAAAATCCATGATTGCACTATGTTCATGGTCAACCTATGTCCCAAACCCACACTGAGTTCTTATTTTGGAAACAATGGTGAGCAGTTTGAGGATAATGATGATGAAGAGAATGAAGAGGAAGTGAACGATGAGCATGGGGAGTATGATGGTGTTTCTGTGACTCTGGTAAATGTCGTCATAAAACAGAATGCGCAGGAGGCATGGCAGGGAGAGTTAAAATATGAGGACGGAAATTCTGAAGTAGTGTCTATTAATGGTTCCGAATGGAACATGTTCTTCAACACCACAATCATTAATGTAGTCTAAAAAGCTATATACTTTAACTTTGCTGTTTCAATGATAAATATTCGGGTTTTTTTAAAGACCACTTTTTTTCCATTTTGTCCAAGAGTGGCTCCTTACACTCAAAGATGCTGCACTATTAATAAATGTAAATCTTCATACTGATTCTACGTTTCTTTCGACATTTCAAATATCATTTCTTAGTTTGCAGCATTTGATATTTTCAATTGCTTGTGCTTACAGCACATATTGATATTAAGTGGTGAAAACTCGGCATCTGAATTTCCTGCCATCGAAATTGCACTTTTAAATTGTTGGTACGGAAAAAATGTTACAAACAGGATTCGAATTTTTACATTTCGGTACATAACGGTAAAGCCATTATTGGTAACAATTATACAAACACTCCGGATTGCGTATCGATATATTTCAATTTTATACGCGCCATGTATAACGATAACGATAATAATTCGAAATTTAACAAAACCAGACAAACTGTACATAAAAATTATGCATATATAGTGGAGAATAAAAATATGTATGAATACCAGAAAGCTCTTCATTTTTTAGAACAAGGCTGTGACTGCGGTTGTTCTGCTAAGGTGCCAAAAAAGACTTTGCTGAATTGCGGGAAGCTTTTCAAGCTCTGACTAAAACCGAACAAGATATTTTCTTAATGGCTCAACTCAAGTCGATGGAGCAATACTAGTCGACGTCTCAAGAACAGGTCTCGAATCAACAAGAGAACTTTTTATTGCTGGAATCGCGATATACCCATTTGTCAAAAGTATTAGAGAACATTTGATAGAAAATGGCCTTCTTTCCCGAGTACACGGTAATGTAAAAAAATGCCACAATAAAAAACCAAGATGGTAGCGATAAAAACGTGGCTATTACTGTAAAGAATTTTTTTCTCTTAAATTATGCCGAAGTCCACGGATTACCAAGTCCGTTAGAAATGTCAACCGAGTTACCCAATCAACTTTATTTTTTTGCCGGCGGAAATGAGCTATAAAATCTATTCATCGTGACTTTTTAGCTGGCTTGGAAGAAGAGAGTAATTTGAGAGCCCTCAAGTATGATGCTTTTCGCATCAATTAACTCCGCAAATCCAAATCATGAGCCCGCAAACTGACTTGTGCGATACCGGCGGAATAACTTGCAATTTAACGCTCTTAAAGAAGAGGAGGCCCGAGACTTGTTCTTTATAATTAAATATCAAATACCGCATAACATGTTTCTTACCCAAAAATTTGTATCAAATCGCATCGCTAACTCATGACTCAAACCGGTCGAATAAAAATTTTACGCCACTTTTCCGTACCCTACGATTATTTTATATTACTTGTGCCGTTCGTAATTGATTATAATTTTTGTAGTAAGTTTTTACTCCCACTCTTATTATCTCTTTTCTTCTGACTTACCGTTATACTAATTGTTGATGTTAGAGCTTCTGCATCGGGTAAGGTAGAGTTAGTTAGAATTATCACCACATTTTTCAGTCAAACCGAGTTGTGAGGCATATATATTAAGTCGCTTGATTAATAGAATTGATGTTGGCGTGGCGGATTTATGTGTCGGAAAACTTTTCGAAATCGAGGAAGTGACTCGTATTAACTTCTAAGTAATATATTGATATCGCGTGTGCTCCAAATGTTACACTGATACTATTGTTCTTATTTACGGAAACAATCGTGATAGTGCAGTAAAAAATTTTTCACTGTTAACAAGTCCGACAAGTCACGCGTATAAATTTAATTAAACTGATTCCTATGATAGCGATAACATAAATAACAAAAGCGCACATATGAGTAGACGCGCGTTCGCGTGTTAAATGTTATCGATTGCTGTCACATGCATCCTTATAAGTATAAATGTTGTTATATATGCAATAAAAAGTGTGACTGTAGAGTATAAACGGGTATCGATATATTGATTAGTGTAGCACACTATCACACCATCACATCATAACGCGACTGTCATAATTGTTTCCGTAATAGTATCGGAGTACACGCAGTAAAATATTTTTTCACTGGTTAAAAAGTCCGATAAGCCACGCAATTAAACTAATCTCTATGATAATAATGACATCGAACAACAAAAGCACCTATGCAATATGATATCAGCGTGACCTATGTAGTATAGCGAGGGACACTCTAGTGATTCTTATAACAATATAAGAAGATGTATGACCACTGTGTAACTGCTATTATTTTCGCTCCTAATTTGTTACTATAATATGATATCGTGTAACAATTTTCATCTTACAAATCAGAAAAATGGAGCCAACTTTTTGACTTTCAAACAAAAGTCTATTATGACAGCGTGAGTAGATGATTCTGGCGCAACTGATACGTCTACTTTTTTCTAACCGTCTAGTTATGTTCAGAACTGATGATACTGTTTCAAAACAAACGACAAATTATGTCGATTTTCGAAACCTAAGGTGAAAGGAATGAAATATTTATCCAGAAGCAACGTGTGAGGAAACTACGTAAGTTTTTCATGGTGGGGGAGGTTATGAGCAAGACTAATTTGGTTAATTATAACAAGGTTTCCGTACGTGCTCGCCGAGGTGTGACTTTGGACGAGTATGAACATTGCACCGACAAGTTTAACGTTCATGGTTTATGGGAATGGGTAAATTTTAGAACGTCCATTAGAGCCACACGAAATTTGTATTGGCGCGATTACTTCAGAAATAGTTGCGCAATGCATGTCCGTCAAAGAAACAGAATAAACCGCAGAGCAACTCATAAGCATCAATTGATTAACTATCTCAGTCCTATTAATAGTATCAAATTAATTTTCTTTCCTTAAAGGAACTCACGCTGATGGTTCTGGGAAAGGGGCTGACGCATCATTTCATCCAAAGAAATTAGGAGTGCCTGCACCATTCGGAAGTGACGGAAAGGTGCCCTTTGTTTTTCTACTGGCTTTAATTCCTTTAACATTAAAGTTTATATTTTTATAATTTTATAGGGGAAACCGTGGCCGAATATTATCGTGAAAAGTCGCATATTTTGAAAGCATAGACCACGTCTTTGAAAATTAAAAAATTACATGCTAAATAATTTTAATCGCGTACATGATGCGATAATTGTCAAAATAGACCCCATTCCCTGAGAACAACGCATGCAAGTAAGTTATACTTCTTGCAATGTTTGATTGCCTCAATATTATTCTAAGAATAAACACATGCAGGCGTGGCATTTGTTCCATCGACAGAAGAACACGAAGAGAAAAACTTCAACATCGAACTCACGTAATGACAAGTACAGGATGTGGATGGTTTATTGCTTTTATTATTAGTTTGAATTTGGCACTCATAATGGAGCCGGGAATCCGTTGAATATTGCATGACTCATTAAATTTAATTTAACCATCAAGCGCATTCTGATTCTATTGTTTTCAAAAAATGAGATTTTATTTAATTAATAATGTGTCGTGTAACCGGTACATGTATTATGTAAAATGTCTCGGACTCACATACAAGGTGTATCTACATGTTTCTACTGAAGACATTGAGGAACCTGCGTTGCTGATTCCTTGCTTTCGGTAACAACCTATTCGCCTTCATCTTCAACAGCCACTCTTACTTTGGCTACTGCTAACCTGCCATTTCAGCAGACTCTACACATTCAAAGCATTGTGGCAACGTATTTCTGTCCAGTTACTTTTTTTTCTTTTTTACCTATATGTTTTCTGTTAGTGCAACCTGTTTTGTGTCCGATTATTTCTTCTGATTCATTTTATTTAAAATTGAACGCCTGGGTTTACTTAAATGTGGGTGCGTAGTTGCAAAGTGTCTACGTGACAATTGTTCCATATGTCACTGATTATTTTGTTTTGAGACGCCGATGGACAGATCAGGCTTTTCGTGATATAACGCGTTTTTCATCTATACACGAGCTCGCATTGACTTGAATGATCAATTGTCCTTTTGTTTCCTGTTCGTATCCTTAAAATGATGAATTTAGAATATTCTTCACATTTGTGCCGCAATAAATCAGCACCTTTTATTTACATGCTACATTTCTCTGATCGTATAGTATGATTGAAAGTAGCCTTTGCCCGATCTTACAAGGAATACATGATAATGTTAAGTGACATGCAATTAACTGGCCTTGGTAATTATCTATCGCATCCTGTTTCCATCCACGAATTATAAAGTATCAGTGTTGTACCTCAGTTGGGGACCTGTCTCAGTTCTGGACCGAGACAACTGGATGTGTCTGGGTTCTGGACTGAGACAACTGGATGTGTCTGGGTTCTGGACTGAGACAACTGAGTTCTGGACTGAGACAGGTCCCCAACTGAGGTACAACATCAGCAAGTGCCTCATTCTGGTAGTCGTGCGCATGCAGACATATTTTAGTACGGGCTGTAGTGGACAATTATATGCTACAAAAGTGTAATGATGCGATTATATTATAAATTACAGTAAATTGACCATACTTCATTATTTGCCATCATTTAATAATTATCATTACTATTAACTGAGCACTGCAATCAAAAATAGTCCCTCTCCCATCCACTTGCCTCGATCCTCCTATTCTCCAATGTCCTCTTTGGTAATTCTTTGAAGAAGTGGAAAAGTCATATTTGTCAGCCATGAAACAGTCGACCATTATCTATTGTACGTGATATATATATATATATACGCATCCATTTAACCATTATTAATAGCGGATTTTTGGTCGATCTATAACCATGAATAGCTAGATAAACGTCCAAATAGAAATAGAAATCGTCCATAAAAGGTCAAGTCCTTTTCATTTTTTGTTCCCAAATTTTTGAACTAATATGTGTAGATGATCTGCCGAGAGCAGAAAAAAAAACTAGTCACTGCTGCTACTTCAACAAGCACTATTACTTGCAAATTCTTCTAGTGATAGTGAAGAGTCTCAAGTTCTGAATCAAGTGATAATGAACTGACTCT